AACAACGGTTTTCTGGGTGAACACTCGCTCTCGGCTTCGCTATCGGGAACAAGGAGGTCTTCGCTCCCCTTCAGTGATGATCTCCTCCTCTTCGCAGGCGTCATAGGGGGCGGTGAGCTCGCGGCTATGACTACCTCGGCCTCTACAGCCGCCCAAGCAGAGACTGCAAGTTTCACGTCTACATCCTTCTTGGACGGTGTTCCGGGGATGATGGGTTCCTCATTAGGCGCCGAAAAGATTGTAAGAGCGGAAGCTTGAGATGGCGGTGTAGGTTGCCAGGCCTCAGTGGGCCGACGGTTCAGACGACTCTTACCAGCTCTTGGTATACCCGGTGCTGGTGAGGGAGACCTGTATGTGAACTTCGATCGCAGCTCACTCATTGTGGATGAGATTGCAGCGCTGAAAGCCGACTCGGGTTCGGGGGAAGATGCCGGCGTGAGAGTGCCGATAGTATCTTGTGACTGCGCAGTGCTGCCCCTGGAGAAGACGGTCGACTGTGATTCGCTCCTAAAGCTGGACTGTGTATCACTGAAGACCCGTAGCTTCTTCTTAGGGGCAGACGCCGCTTGCTCTAAATCAGCCACTTCGGCCATAACCTCCTGTATTGAGTCATCCGAATAGAGCTCGAAGTCCTGGTCGGTCTTCCTCCTCCTACTCTTCTCTCGATGTAAGGTTGGGCTTGGTTCTGGTACAGAAGGTGCGAAAAATTGGCTCCGCACAACACCTTCGTCGCCAGCGGCGAGTGTCTCGGTGACGGAATCGGAGCACAATCGTTGTCTCTTAGAAGGATGCGGAACCGAACGTCTACCCGCAGTTGGATCAGTCATGGTGCGTCGTGGTGGTTGAGGCGCCGTACTAGGCGTAGGAGGGTTCGGCCGTAAACGGGAAATCGGAGCAGGCACTGCAGCCCACCCATTAGACTCTCTCTGTTGTTCCAGCAATACTTGCTGACTGGGTGAGGGTGTGAAGACATTGGGCGACAACTCGGCCAATGGCGTACGCTTAGGCTTGAAGAACGAATCTATCGGCTTCGAGCCTTTCGCGTCGGGTGTCTGAACAATTGTCGAGGCTCTCCGAGAGGGACCAAACGATTTTCCGCCAGGCCTACTGTTGCTGGTGACGCTCATCGGAAGTTTTGTGCGTGGGTATAGGTCACCACTTGCAACACCGGTGGCGAGGTGTGCTGGTACCTCCTCTCCGATGTAGGGCATATTGGCGAGATCGATCCCGTCCTCGAGTGGATTGAGGTTGACCAGCTGCTTGGCAACTGGGCAGTAAACCCATTGGTAAAGGAAGGTTTTCTCGGCCTGGTCAAACAATTCCAAGAAACCAGCGGGCACCTTGAGCTTGCCGTCGTATTGCGCAGCTTTGACGAGACGGTCGACAGTCTTGTGTTTCCGCAACATTCGATGGGCAGTCTTCAGGCCAAGTCCGCCAATACCTGAGAGATAATCGCAACCGCTTAGGATGCACATTCTTCGAAAGTCGGCGTCAGACCATCCCACGAAGCTGACCTCCCTGCAGGCAGTGAAGTGATTCCGGTTGACCTCGATGCATTCTCCGTATTTGTCCAGCTTTGTTATCAAGCACTTGACGCCAAAGACGAGTAGATCGGAGTCCTCGGACAAGACCCCATGGATGATACCCTTCCGCTCCAGGTATGCGAGCTGCGAGTCAGCTTCGTAAGGCGCGACGACGTACTCGATGTTGTGCTGCTTCAGTTCTTCGATGACCATCCGCGCCATTTCCGGTGTCACGTCCACGCTCTTCTGCAGCTCCTGTTGCGCCTGTGCTGTCTTTCCAACCTTCAGGAGTTCCAGCCCGAGCCTCTTGCCCTCCTTTCTTCGTTCTCTTCGATCTTTCTCTGTGCCAGCCTTGCTCGGTAGGTTGTCTCCGTCGAATACAAGGTAGGGGGTGACGCCGAAGTGGATGAGCATACGGACGCGGTGCATGACAAAGTCGACATATCTAGGGAAAAGGTTAGCAGATGCTAATCATCCATGGATGCATCAACGCATACTTGGTCGTCGGCTTCTCGAGCGCCAGGTCAATCGCACAGGTCGCGGTAGCGCGGTGGAGCCAGCCATACGTGTCGACGCCTATCGTCTTGCCGGCGTATTTCTTGAGATTACATGGTTGCTGAACCGACTTGAGTAGCGGAAGGAGGCCTGTTCGGCTGTCAGTATTGCAGACGGGACGGTTGGGTGTACCGACCTGAGATGCCCATCTTGTACCCTTTGCCGCTCACGCGTCCGTCCTATACAACGGGCAGAGAAGCAACAGTTACCGCAACATGGTGGTTTCCTAGTCGGATGACGAGAGGAGAGACGCCCTTATGCACTGAGGATCAAGCGAAAAAGAAAAGGGAGCGCGTTCACATCGATAGTGTGGAGCAGTCATTGATCGCGGGTACACGAGATGACAGGAACGCGCCCCGCTAACATATGCACTAGTCCGCGTCCGACTGCTAGCGTGGTCGCGATCGCCGAGCGCCGATGGATATCCAAAATTTCTTGCGCGAACACCAACACCAAACAGAACATCAAACATTCAAAATGGTCAGCAATCGTCTCGACAAGGTGCACAAGAAGATCACGAAGAAGAAGGGAAAGAATCCCAACCTGCACGAGGGCAGCCGGGATACCAGGCGATTACAGAGCGCAGCGCAGAGAGACGAAAAGCTCAATCGCACTTTCAAACAACGAAAAGATCAAAACCGGACATACAGTATGTATTAAGGTTGCGATTCATTGACTGTGTTGTTGCTAACTGGTGATAGTCAACAGAGTCAAATCATTTCAATCATATACCGCAGAGCATGTTGCACCACTCAGCGTACCTGAGATCCAGGCCATGATCGAGGATTACTTAGGTCGCGATGATGAGGAGCTGGCCCAACTGAAAGCAGCTCGTCGTCCAGGACGGCCAGCAAGTACGCGCCAGCAGCTGTTGGAGATCCACCAGAAAACCGAGCGGGACGAGTACGCCGCTGGCTTCTGGGTACCGGACCTTGAGGACGTTCTCAATCTGAAGAAGCTGAAGGAGTGGAACGGCGAGTGGGCTCAGCTGGCCACGCTCAAATTTTCCAGAATCTCAAAGGAGGGTTTCAAGAAGGAGTCTAGCTTCCCGCCTAAGGGCATGTCATGAGCGCACGAGAAATGCATGGATCGGAGTAATTGAAGGATTAAGGCGTTTCGGAGCAAATGACAACAGAGTCGACGTAGACCTAGAGCTGCGTCGTAGATATACCCAGAAAAGTCTAATTTACCACACTGCCGCTTACAATATACACACGAATCTCTTGGCCACTTCTTCAAGGCCCAAATCTCAAGCATCGGGAAAGGAAGCGGCGTTCTCACGGCATTTGTCACCCGGTTTTACTACACCAGCGTAGAGGGTGTTCCAGGACGTCTTTGCTGAGTTGAAAGTCGGGTAACACTAATTTACTCATTCCAATATGCATCTCAACTCTACTTATACTGTTGAAACGCCACATGCCAAACCTTCATCCCCTTCGGCCCGCCCCTCAGATGCGGAATAAGCTTCCCGAAATCCTCAGTCTTGCGGAACTCCATATGCGCATCTACACTCGGCCATCCAATGAACGCCGCAAAAAGCTTTCCATCAACACCCTCACCCAGACTTTCATGCTTCTGCGGCTCAACGCTCCATCCACCAATCACCCCTTTGGCCTCGACATTAGGTATCTCGGTTGCCATGGTGCGGAAAGTAGAGAACTGGGAGCTGTATTCCTCTTGGGAGTAGTCGGAGGTGAAGAATGCGTTTATGTACTCAGTTATGGGCATGGTGAATGGGTTCTCGCTTCCAGACTGCGGAGTGGGAAACTTGACGTGGAACACGGTTGGGTCGTCGCCGGATGCAAGTTTTTCCATGATTGTGGCCAGGAAAGGTTGGTAGCCTGGGGTCATTTCGAATGTTCTATGGTCCTGGATGGATTCCCATTCTACATTCCGTCAGCAAGTTCATATAGTGGTGGTATTCCTTGCTCAGTAATCAGTCGGGCAAGGCACGAGTAAATACGCACCTACTGCCATTTGCACAGTATCTGGGTTCTCAATCTGTCGGCCCCAGTACAAAGCTTTGACACCGGGCTGTTTGGCGATAGTGCTTAGGGTTGACTCCCATGTTTCTTTTGCTTCGCCGGATGAGAGATCGAGACCGGCTTCCATGGGAATGTACACAATTTCGGTAGCATTTTCTGACATCTTGGCGTATAATTTGTGTGGGGGTTGTTGTTGATGATGATTTGAGTAGTGGGAAGTGAAGTGGTTCAACTAGAAGTCAGACAATGAGGCAATGAAGAGGTGGAGCTATGGTGTCGTTCTGTCGCGTCTTGCTAGATGCATACGATGAGCTGTTTGCCCCACACCAAGCTTGACGTAGGGAAGGGCCGAAAGTGGGGTAACAAGTGGAACCAGACACGATCGAGGCCCTTCCAATATCCTTCCAATCCTTCCGCGTCCTGAGCTTTATATGCAACTGACATTGTAGCAACCCGAAAGCTTGCAGTAGAACATGGTGAGCGTACCTATGTATCGCAACTTGCCCATCACCTTTATCCACGCCCAAGTACTTTCCACGCCACATACAGAATAGAATGCCTCTCAGTTCCAACCATGCCTGTCATAACATCCTCCCAAGGTACCAACACTACCATCCCACCAGAAGAAGAGCTCGTCTCAACCCTGCGCAGTCCCGTCATCGTGGTACACACGTGTTGCCTCCACTTCTCAAGATTTTTCCGCATGATACACACGCGTTGGTACCGCAACCGAAACATTGCATTGCGAATGCGTCAAGTGTTCGGATACAGAGTACACAAGTATGTTGGCCTTCAACTCTGACCCACAATGTATTGTGGTTACAGCCGGTCCCGTGCCTCCTCGATTCCTCTTGTCTTGCACGCCCTGCTTCTTGTCTTGCACGCTGCTCTGCTTCTTGTCTTGCACGCTGCTCTGCTTCTTGTCTTGCGCGCTGCTCTATTTCTTGTCTGGCATGCTGCTCTGCTTCTTGTCTTGCGTAATGCTCTGCTGCTTGTCTTGCGTGATGCTCTGCCGCTTGTCTTGCGTAATGCTCTGCTGCTTGTCTTGCCCAATACTCTGCTCCTTGTCTCGCCCAGTAGTCTGCTTCTTGCCTTGCACGATGCTCTGCTTCTTGCCTCGCCCGATGCTCGGCTTCCTGTTTCGCTCGAAGCTCTGCTTCTCGCATCTCTTTCTTGTGCTTTCTTCGAGAATTCCCTTGCTCTCTTTTCGCACGTTGTTCAGCTTCTTCTTTCGCAAGTCGTTCTTTCCTGACCTGCTCAGCCAGCTCAGCCACGAGCCTTTCGCCTTCTTGATTCTTTCGTTTCGTGAGGTCATCGTTCAGCTGTTCGAGCCGTACCCTTGCTTCGTCTAGGTGTGTCTGCTTGATCCGAATGGCATTTTCTGCGTTGATCGTGGCTAGTCTGATCTCGTTCTTCTCTTGTTCACTCAGTCCGTCGCTCAAGAAGGCAGATATGCCCAGTTTGGACAGTCTATCGCTTGCCAGCTTTATTCGATTGTCGTTGACCTTCTCTTTGAGGACTTCGAGTTCGGTCTCGAGAGACTTGACAGTGTTACGACATTGACGAATCTGCTCTTTCTGAGATCTCTCATAGTTGAGCCACTCTTGTCGTATCCGATTGCTCTCTGCCTGTGCGCGCGCTTCCTTTTGCGCTGGCGTTTCGCGTTGCGGGTGCGACTGAGGGTGCGACTGAGGGTGCCACGGAGGGTTCGGCTGTGGTGCGGCTGGAGGTGGAGCGTAAGGTTGGCTGCCTGAGTAAGAAGCAGTTCGTTGTTGACGGCTTCGATCGTATTCGCTCCTCGTGGACGCATCTTTGAGTACTTCCCATGCTGCGTTGATCTGTGCCCAACGTTAGTACGGCACGCTCGTCCAAGCACGGTGGCTTCTCCACACAAGCTGAGTCGTTGCGGTCGCGTGTTGAGACCCGTTGTTCTTGTCTGGGTGATGCAATAGTGCGAGGCGGCGGTACGACGCCTTGATCTCGCCGTACAGCGCAGAAGGTCGCACTCCCAAGGTGACGTAGTAGTCTTGCGTAGGAAGTGCGGGAGCCATCTTCGCGCGGACGACCTAGGCAGGTGCTGCTAGGGACGTTGCGTGACCTATTTTTGCTGCATTCGAACGGAGGAACGTTCGAATGTACAAGCGCTATTAGCAAGATGCAGGAGTTTGTGTTGTCACAATTTGAACAGTTTGAGAGGACAGCAGTTGCAGCAACAAAACTGTCAGTTCCAATTTTGAACGCGCGGTGGCTTCGCGACGCGTTTGCAGACCGCCAAGGAAAGTGAGAGCAAGAGTGAAAGTGACCTCGGGAGGGTGAGAAAGAGTCACCGTGAGCTAATCAAGGCCAATCAATATTCACGCTTCCCCATGCTCTATCTATGCAAGATGTATTACATTTTCCTTTTCGATCCCCCATGCATGCAATCGCTATCCAAACGGCCCAAATAACAAGTACGCTTAATCATACACAATCATAATCCAACACCGATATCGACAGAATGTACTACTCAATTGACCTTTGTGACCTTGATCCCACGGTCGAGAAGGGCATTCTTAAGACCCTTAGCGACCTGCTTCCTTGTCCTGGCGGTCTGTCGCAAGCTATCAATATTGTCGTCAACCAGGTCGCTCAAACGCGCGATCTCCTTGCCTGATGTCGGACTGCCTTCGGGTGTGTAGAACAGGCCATAGCCCTTGCTGGGCGTAGGCGTACTCTCCACTTCGGGAGTTAGAGCACGACGGCTTAGATCGGTCAGGGTCATCTTGTTGCGGTTGGTAGGCGGAGTGGCGTAAGGCGTGTCGGCAATGCTGCGGCGGAGATCCGTACCGCGTGACCGTCGGGGCGTACCGGCGTTGCGTGATGAAGATGAGGAAGGACGACTGGAGTCTGCAAGGCCGACCTTGCGCAATTGGGCCTCTAGGACTAGAATGTCGTTGTTCTTCTGCTCGGCCAGATTGGCCAACCTCAGGACTGTCTTCTTGACAGCCTCCATAGAAGGCACTGACCTTGTGCTGCCGTTCTGTGCGTTGTGAGACACCAGACGTGAGCGTAGGACTGCGACTGCATCTTCAGCCTTGCGTAGCGACGTCAAAAGCTGAGCATAGTCGTTGCGCAGAGCCTTCTGTCCATCAGCAAGCTCCTTTGGCAATGGTGCCTTTCGGAGAGCTTCTGCCTTTTCGGGGTCCTTGCGGTTGATGATCTGGCGACGGATATCATTGAGACGAGTCATGAGCTTGGCCTTGTCGTGAAGAAGACGAGCGAGCTGTGTGAGCTTGAGGAGCACATCCTGTACCCGTCCAGCATCCAGCTCTTGTTCAAGCTGATCTTCAAGAGATCGCAAGGCTTGAATCTCGCATAAGGTGAAGTTCTCGAACCATGAGCCGTGAGGTCCCTGGTCTTGAACATCATCCAACATACGTCGATCGATTTGGTGACCAGACTGGGGCTGTAGGTGGTATTGAGTGAACGACTTGATAGATCGAGCGTTCCAGCCAAGTGCATCCACCATACCGTTGATGTCTTTGTAAATCAACTCGATCTGAGCGGCGTGACCTGTCTTGCTTGGTGATTTACCACCAGTGTAGTTCTGGTATGCAACAAACTCCTCCAGGTTCCGGCTAGGCTCAATCGGCTGCGCAAGCTGTGCGCGTATCCGTTCGTCCTCCTCATCCTCAAGATCAGAGACCTGTGGCTGTGGCGTGGGCGGCTTAGATCCCTGCATGGATGAGCTCAATGAAGCACCCGGTGCGACCAAAGGTTCTCGTCGGAGACGAGAAGCTGAGCTCGAACGAGCTGGGCTAGGCGAGCGAAGGTCTTGCGCGCGACTTGTTGGAGGCGGGAAGTTCGGTTTCGCAGACATCGATGGCTGAGGGCCTTTGTTCGGTTGCTGACCAAACAGCGATGAGCCCGAGAACGACGGTTGGCTGGCGGCAGGTTTCGAGGCCTGAGCGAACAAAGAAGGCTGGGCTGGTGAAGCGCTGCTTCCGGACTGTGATGTGGCGCCGGACTTCATTGTGGGAGGAGTCGGTGCAGGGGGGAAGAACTGCCGCGACTGGTTCACACTGTCCTGGAAGCTCCAGGTACCCGTCTTCGCGGCTTGCGGCTTTGTTGTCTTGTTTGGCGGGTATGTGTCGTCGACTTCTTCAACCTCCTCATCGTCCTCCTCATCAGAGAAACCTTCCTCATCATCATCCTCTTCGCTCTCGTCGTCATGGTCGTGATCATGTTCTTCCTCGTCTTCGTTGTCAATGGGAGATACATCTCCAGACGAACTAGGTGCTTCCACCTCAACGCCAGGACTACCAGCTAGCGGAGGCAAATCGTCGCTAGTCGAATTCGGCAGCTTTGTGTTGATGAAGTCTGGAGGTAGAGGTGCGTCCTCAGTTTTCGCCGGCTTAGCCTTGGTGAAGTCTGGTGGCAAAGGTGCGTCGTCCACCGGAGTAGCGGGCTCTTGCACAGGTGGTGCAGCCTTGGGGGTTGCGCTCTCCTTTGCAGGGGTGTCACTGGGGAATAACGACTTCTGCTTTGGTGGGGATGCTGGTGTCGTGGAGACCCAACTTGGGGGGTTTTCGCTCGCTGGGGTTGCGGGCGGCTTCATCCCTGTCTTTCCGAGCATGTTGGAGAAGTCACTGCCGAAGAAGGAACCGTTGGCAGGGGCCGCAGGCTTCGCTGGATCGTCCTTAGCTGTACCGTCACTTGCAAAAGTAGTGCCGAGCTTGAAGCCACCTGCAAGGCCGAATAAGCCTTGGGACGGCTGAGCTTGTGGTGTAGGTGTAGCTTCGTCCCTCTTTCGGTCGTTTGCCTCGCTCGCATCGGAGTTCTTCGACTCGAACGAGGCCGTGTTGAACGATGACTTGTCTGGCTGTCCAAATATCGAGCTGCTTTGCTGAGCGGGCGTGTTCGCCCAGGAGGGTAGCGAAGATCCAGTCCCAGAGCCAACGGTGACAGTAGAACCAAAGCTTGGCTCTGTCTTCAGACCTCCAAAGCCAGATTTCTGTTGCCCTTGCCCGAGTGCTCCGAACCCGGAGCCAGTCTGGGCAGAGTTGTTGCTTCCAAAGCTCGAAAATGAGTTTGAACCTCCAGCACCCCCAAATTTGGCGAATCCAGACGAACCACCAGCAGCGGCCGAGAATGGGTTGGACTTTGACTCTGGAGTTTGAGAAGTCGCTCCCCATGGAGATGCTTTGCCGCCCATTCCACCTACCGCACCGAAGCCGGAGCCAGCACCCACTGCAGAAGGAGCACCGAAGGCTGGTTTGGCGGGAGTACCAATTGCAGAAGGAGCACCAAAAGCTGGCTGAGGAGGCTTAGCAATTGAAGATGGAGCACCGAATGAAGGCTGTGCAGGTTTACCAAAAGTTGGCGCAGGTAAGTTGGTAGCAGCAGTACCGAATCCGGGGGTTCCAAAGCCCGGCGGTGTAGGCTTCATCAGAGCGGGAGTTGGTGAACCGAATCCGTTTCCAGTGTTGCCAAATTGGGGGATACCAGCTGTTCCTGGGGTGCCGGGTGTTCCCATGGACTTGCTGAAAGGGGTAGATGTGGCAACAGGAAGTTTGGATGCAGGCGTAGATGCCCTCGCAGTAGAAGACGGCGCATGCTGTGTGGCTTCGCTCTTGAAGATGAGACCGGGATAGCGTTCACCAGCCTCGATAGACTTGTTCCACATGACCCACCAGGCCGCAAGAAGACCTTCATGGGTCAGAGCCATGTATGCAGGGAGTGGCCACGGCGCCTCGTTGATCTCTTCCAGAGCGGGGATGGGGCGCAGTATCTTCTCTTTGCTTGAGAGATCAAGCGCCTCGCCAATAAAGACGCTGTCCATTTCCTCGTCACCATAAGCGGTTCGCGGCACCTGAGCCTTCTTCGTATCGTCCACGTTGACCATCATGAGCTCGTTGCAGATTTGCTGATCCGGGGAGATCTTGTTGCTTGTGGAAGCAAGGATCGCGATGGAGTCAGCATGGGAGGAAGTGATGATGAGCATGTCGTCGAGATCAGGCTTCCAGTTCTGTAGGCGTGTGGACGAGATACGTGCAGGTAGTTGGCGGCGTGGAGCTTCGAATGCCTCGGGAAGAGGATCCCAGACAAAGGAATGGTACGTGAAAGATCCCCAGCCCTTGGCTGATTTGATGACGCTGTACTTCTTTTGCTCCGGGTTGTCCTGGTCTTGTTCCTTCAGAGAGTAGACAGCAAGGAACTCTTCAGTTTTCAGCCATGACACGCCGGTCACCTCGTAGTTTTCATCCACGTCCGGAGGTCGAGGAACGATACCTCTTAGGTCTCCAGCGGTCATGTGTATAGCGCAGGTGCCGTCAATAGAACCAGAGACTACAGCCTTTCCACGCGCGCTCCAAGCGGCGCAGTTGACATGTGCCTCCCGGATCGTCTTCTTGACGCCCTTTTCCACATCGCATATCTCGAGCTTGCCATTATCGAGGACTATGGCGAAGTATTGTTCGAATTCGGGGGAGGGGTTTGGCAGGAGAGCGCGAACGGGAGCGTCGGTCGCCAGTTTCGTGTCCGCGTCTTTCTTGCCTTGGCTAACGACACTCGCAACATTG